CCAGCTCCACAGATACTCCGCGTACTAAAGTTGTACTACAAAGTCACCAGTTCTCATCGTTCAGCTCGCCAGATACTCCGCGTACTAAAGTTGTACTACAAAGTCGCCAGTTCTCAGCTTCCAGCTCTACAGATTGCTTCGCGTACTAAAGTTGTACTAGAAAGTTGCCAGTTCTCAGCTTCCAGATCACAAATTGCTCCGCGTACTAAAGTTGTACTACAATGTCGCCAGTTCTCAGCTTCCAGCTCACAAATTGCTCCGCGTACTAAAGTTGCACTACAAAGTCGCCAGTTCTCAGCTTCCAGCTCCACAGATACTCCGCGGACTAAAAGCTGCACTACAAAGTCGCCAGTTCTCATCGTCCAGCTCGCCAGATACTCCGCGTACTAAAGTTGTACTACAAAGTCGCCACTTCTCAGCTTCCAGCTCCACAGATACTCCGCGTACTAAAGTTGTACTACAAAGTCGCCAGTTCTCAGCTTCCAGCTCGCCACATACTCCGGGTACTAAAGTTGTACTACAAAGTCGCCAGTTCTCAGCTTCCAGCTCCCCGATGCTGTGCCTGCCACGACATCTGCACATGGAGGTGCACAAAGTGCTGTGCCTGCCACGAAATCTGCACATGGAGGTTCACAAAGTGCTGCACCTGCCACGAAATCTGCACATGGAGGTTCACAAAGTGCTGCACCTGCCACGAAATCTTCACTTCAAGAAACAAGTGAAACCTCTAATCCCAATGGACGGACGATTCCGAGCATGATCCGAGCAGGATCCGAGCATGATCCGAGCATGACCCGAGACCGTCTCGCAACCGTCGTTCCGCAGACCTTGACTTGCCAGCTTCGGAGCCACCGGTTCCATTGAAAAATACAGCATTTCGTGCCTTCGCTATCTCTCCGCAACGCATTTTGTATTGCGCCTGCCACGACATCTGCACATGGAGGTGCACAAAGGGCTGTGCCTGCCACGAAATCTGCACGTGGAGGTTCACAAAGTGCTGCACCTGCCACGAAATCTGCACATGGAGGTTCACAAAGTGCTGCGCCTGCCACGAAATCTGCACGTGGAGCTGGAGTTGCCTGGAGCTTGAGCTGTTGACACCAGAGCTGGTGTATGAGCGGTGTATGAAGACTGGTGTATGATGAGTGGTGTATGATGAGTGGTGTATGATGAGTGGTGTATGATGAGTGGTGTATGATGAGTGGTGTCTGATGAGTGGTGTTTGATGAGTGGTGTATGATGAGTGGTGTATGATGTGGTGTATGATGAGTGGTGTATGATGAGTGGTGTATGATGAGTGGTG